GTGTATCTTGATTTAAGAATCTTTTGAACTGGAAAAACCAGACAAAAATACTGAGAAAGAACATCACTTTTTTTTTGCAGGTACAGTAAAAGTTATGGTTGTTTCATTGTTCTAGTCTTTGGGAGCAAGCTATTTATTATTAACGTTATTAAGCTGCTTTTTTGTGTGAAATGAATGAAAAAGTAATGGAGATCTGTTGGAAGTTTTAATTTTAAACTTTCAAGTGTTAATATTACAACTTATTGTTCCCTACACATTTACATTTTGTGAACATTGACATACTGTTGCCTTTATATTATTCCTTACATTTTCTTTACTTGGTTTTAAAAAGATCTTTAAAAAGTTTCTGCATAAAACCTGCAGAAACCATGAATAAAACTAGATGCTTTTTTGTAAACAAAGAAATGTTGACATTGGTACTCAGACTTACTTTCTTTTTTGTAGGTCTGACAGGCCACACTGGCATGACATTTTGCCTTTCAAATTAAGCATCTGGTTGTACTATTCAGTGAAGTCTCTCCCTCATATCATACAGGTACTTTTCCTCCAGATTTTATGTTTTTGAGATGCGTTTTCAAAATTGACACTCCCAGGCTAAAGCTGTAGCCATGACCATATGTTGTGTTTTTAGGATGTGAAGCAGTATTATAAAGATTATAAGGAAATGAAAGAAAAAGAGAAGGAAGAGGCAGAGGCTCTGGCAGAACAGGAAATGCAGCAGAGTAAGATCACGATCACACACAGTTATACATCTGACCTCGATCACACAGTTATACTCTGACCTCTGCACATATAGCCGTACACATTATTGTGATTGAGTTGTGACTATGTGATCCTTAATAATACGTGTTGTTGATGGATTTTGCTCCGCAGAAGAAAAACGGCCCAAGGTGAAGAAACCTAAAGTGGAGTTTCCAGTCTATGAACCCAATACAAATGCTGCTTTTGTGCCAATTTATGATCCGGGAACATCTATTGAAGATATTGAGGATCAGATGGATGACTGGTTAGAAGACAAAAAACAGCAGAAGAAGAAAGTAAGTGTTTGTCTCTGCTCAAAGGACATTGATTTAAATTGGAAGTATTGAATTAACCAATGGCTGGTGATGATTGTAGGCTCAAGAGTGGATGGAGGAGGATCTCAGCCAGCTCTCCCGCTGCATGGCCAAGTTTCCTGGTGGAACGCCAGGCCGGTGGGAGAAGATTGCTCATGAGTTAGGCAGATCAGTGACTGAGGTAAATCTGGAATTAGTACGGTTAACTTATGACTAGTAATTGACCCACAGCAGCTATAATGCTTATATATATTTGAACTGAACTGAATCAACGATGAACTTCTTTCAACTGAATAATGATTGTTTACTATTGTTTTTTTTTAGAGCTGCTTTATAAAGGAATTGAATTCTGAAAAGAATTGAATCACTGTTTAAAAGCAGCTTTACAATCAGTGTTGTGCAGAGAGCTATATAAATAAAGGGCACTTGACTTGTTATATATAATGATCTTCTATAATAACAGAAATGTCAGTTTAAGAAATTTACTAAAATATTTTATTTAGTTTTATTTCATATTGAATCAGTGTTACACATAACTACAAAACACGCATAACTAAATATTTTTTTTTAAATACATCTGTTTAATTTATATATATATATATATATATATATATATATATATATATATATAAATATGCACTCATGTGGATAGTAGCATTTCCTGACTGTTTAGTTTTGTTCACACAAGAAGAAAAATACCATTTAAAAAACCATTTAAAAGTTTGGGTTCAGAAATAATTGTAATAAGCAAGAATCGATTAAATTGATCAAAAGTGACAGTGAAATTTCTATTTAAAATATATGCTGTCCATTTGAACTTTCTATTCATCAAAGAATCCAGAAATAAATGTATCATGGTTTCCACTAAAATATTAAGCAGCACAATTGTTTTCAACATTGATGATAAGAAATGTTTCTTGAGTAACAAATCAGCATATTAGAGTAATTTCTGAAGGATCATGTGATACTAAGAACTAAAGTAATGGCTGCTGAAAATTCAGCTTTGCCATCACAGGAATAAAATGCATTATTTTCTATTGTGTTACATTTTACAGTTATTTTAAATTGTAATAATATTGCACAATTTTGCTTTTTTTCCCCCCCCTTTTTAAAAAAAATCAAATACGTAAAAAATGACAGTGGTACTTCACACACACATTTATGTACCAGTTTTTTTTTTTTTAATCAAATAAAAACTGGTACATAAATGTGTGTGTGAAGTACCACTGTAACCAAAAATGGTTTGGTATACCTTTACAGGTGACAGCAAAGGTGAAGCAAGTCAAAGACGGTGTCACCAATACATCAGGTAAACTATTTATCAAATATTTTGAATCAAATTCCACCTACAGTCTATGATTTATCACCTACTGTGGTGTATTATCAGGCATGTCTTTCAGAACACTTCTCTCTCTCTTTGTCTTTATTTCCAGGGTTGGTGAAGCTTTCTGAGCTGAAGGGTGGTGCAGTGATGGGAAAGAGTTCCAGAGCCGTCACCGTGCCAGACAGTCTGATGACCCAGCGAGAGGACACCTTCGAGCAGCAGCTGGAGGATTCAGCAGAGCCTGCTGGAGCAGAGGACTCTGAGAGCAAAGCACTCAGAAGACGGACGAAAAAGTCTGCTGTCGGGAGTGCTGGAGCCGGAGCAGCGGAGGAGAGAGTGAAAGGACGCAGACAAAGAGACTTCGACCCCACAGCTGTAGATGACGACAGTGAAGATGAGAAGAAACCATCAGCCTCCAGAGAAAAACCCAGTGCTGCTGAAGATGTCTGGACCCAGAACCAGCAGAGGCTCTTGGAGCTGGCCTTACAGCAATACCCACGGGGCGCCACTGAACGCTGGGACAAGATTGCTAAGGTGGTGCCTGGGAAAACCAAGGTGAGCATTCTCACCGACAATCATTGGAAAATTTATTTAAATTAACATTTAACTGCATATAAAAGCTGGATTTCATATTAATTAATGAATTGAGTCTCTTTAACCTATTTAGGAGGAGTGCATGTCCCGTTATAAACTGTTGGCGGAGCTGATTCAGAAACGGAAGCAGGCCAAGAGCTGACTCCTGGTCTTCAATATTTCACCGTACCTCTCACCTGCTTGTTATGTGCCTTAATCCAACCCTACATCCTGTTGTCAGACTATGTGCCATGTTCAGTCTGAATCGTCAGCATTACTCATTGGAGAGATCCAAACTGCACATTTAAAGGTTTTATTTATTTTAAAATCTCTTTCAGATTGTAGATAATCAACTTTAAAATTCTGTAATTATTGCAATAGAAAATGCATTTGTCAATAGCTGCATTTTCATGTTATTTCCAGTTGTCGGTGATAATGGCATAGGGAGTTTATTTTTATTTTTAAAAATACATTTAATTTAGGCTTAATTAGGAATAGGTACATTTTACACCCTGCTGAGGACAGTTTGATTTATAATCGGCACACATATGAAAAGAAGTCTGCTGCCCTCATGTGACTATGAGTGGAGCTACATTAATTGTTAATTGTTTTGTTTTTAAACATGTTTTACCATCCTGACTGGACACATTTTCAACTGTTCAAACCTCTGAATGTCACAAACATATGGCTTCCAGTCACACAGCTGTATATGACATTGTTCTATAACTGATTTAAGATCTGAGTATTAATGTCATTGATTGAAGGTTCATATTTTGTAAAAACAAATGCTTGCATTTAATGTGGTGATAATCTACAGGGAAATACTTGGAACAAATAAAGTAAACAGGAGAAAGAGAGGCATCTAAATCAATAAAACATCGCGTTATTCATTTTTAATCTACTTGAAAGTTATTTCAGATGTTAAAGTGTGATGTTCAACTTGAAATGATGGTCCAGATATTGTCAATATCTTTAACCCTACAAAGCCTACTGTATCATATTTGATACTTTAATTTCTAAGGCCTCTAAATTATCAACATGTTCATAACTTTGCTGAAAAAAACCTGCTGTACTCAATCTATACAATATTATGCCTTCTGACTCATAGTTAAGTCATTCTTGAGAAGTGGGACAAAACGGTGCAAAATTTAAAAAATAAAACCTTGTACACAGACAAATGAAACTACATGTATGTATCTTATATGTACTAAAAGCTACTGAGCTATGCTTTGATACAACCTCCCAACTTTTCTCTTTTTTAACAAAATGTGCTTTTTTACGGTGGTGACATCTGATGGTGTTGACCAATTTGGCATTTCTTTCACAAAACCAATGGATTTAAAATATTCTAAAACTAAAACTTAGCAGAGCCTGTCTGACACTGATGTGCTCTTTAGAGGTGAACTGTGGCAAGAGGGTCCTTTAGAGTGACAGCTGCCCCTGATATTCCCTGATTTTATGGCATTTTATTGAATGTTCATACTTTTTAGCAAGTAAAAAGTCTCATTTAGTCTAAAAAAACCCCTTCAGGTACATATTGCTAGTTATAATAAAGAAGTCATTTACTTAGGCTACATTACAAACTATCAGAATTACGTCTTACTTTTTGGCCATATAAATAATAACAACCATACCAAATTGCATATTTCTACTGAGTTTTGGCCTCTGAATAAAATGTAGATGTGTTTTTTCCCTCATTGAGCTATGTGAGCCATATAAGCCTGATGTATCAAATATGGTGCATAATCTAAAACACAATGTTTATTATTATTATTCATGAATCTGACTATTATTTTACATGGCCAGATTTACAGGGTTAAAAAGATGAATGTTTATCCCGTTAGACATCCATAAAGCAAGGCTTAGATCAGATACTTTTTTATATAGCACAATACTTAGAAATGGAATAAACAAATTTACCTTCCAAGATTTTTTTATGGTAAATTTGTTCATATAATATTTTAGTCAATTTAATTTTAGTCGAGACCAAGGCTGGTCGTGTTGTTGTCCAGCAGATGGCTCTCTTACACTCGCTTCTTATTCTTTACACAACAAGAGCATCTTTTGTAACGTAAACAAGTTAGAAGACCCCACCTCTCTGTAGTGGCGGAAAAATAAGTTGTTAAAAAGTCGTGGGTATAATTCAAGGGCGGTATTACTCTCCACGAAGAAATATTATGTTTTTAATTCGTTTCTATTAGCACATAGGCCCACTGAACAGCGACTCTAACGTTAGCTAACTTTGCTAACTTCACACCGTGGCAAGCGCAATATCAACGATATAACCATTTTTAGCTTACAAAAACGAAAGGAACATAATAGTTTTGAATTCTTAGATCAAAAAAATGTCTCTTCTGAGGGATCACAAGACTTTGCGTATTTTGCTCATTGCTCTTTCTCAATTTGCTTACGTTGCTGCTTTGATTATCAATGCACTCGCGGGACCAGGAAAAGGTACGTACCAGGTTAATTTATGTAACCTACAGATGTATAATAAATAAGTCATATATGCATCTAATTTCTCGTTGGCTTTTAAGGTCCATTTCAGCGCAGCACTGGAAATATATCAGACAGATATCAGACAGAGATCACTCCTGCTGGATGGACCTTCTCTATATGGGGGGTCGTCTATTCCTGGCTCTTCCTGATGAACGCATATATCCTTACCTGGCTTTGTAGAGGGTACTTCAAACCACACACACTCCACTCATATCAACACTTTGCTTATTCACACTGTTTGAAAGCCATTCATTGTAGTTTGACAGTCTTCGCCTGAATTATTGGCTGTCAGGTTGTACTCAAGTCCAGCAATCCTGCCCTCGGAATTCTTTCTCTCATGGATCATCAACATGATTCTGAACAGTACCTGGCTGGTCTTGTGGGATAGAGAGTAAGTTGTGGGCAGCCAACATATTTTGTGGCATAATCATAGTTTTGCATGGTGCCTCAGAAGGTCACGTGTTTGTCTTTTATTGATTCAGATTGATGATTCCTGCCCTGATTGTTCTTGCCCTGATTGCTTTCACCAACTACCTGATGATCTTCTTCTCTTGTCTTGGTCTGCGAGCTCATGGATCTTGGCTTAAACAGCAACATCCAAAAGACCTCTTCTGCATCATAGTGTTGGTATGCATTGAACATCATTTTGGAATCGCTTTGGCAAGAGGCAGAGTATTTATTTCTTTTGTATTTAATCATTTATTTATTATTTTTAATGAAATGAACATGACCACTGAACCTGAACATTATATCTCATATGTAAGGTATTTAAATGCACAGTATTAACAAAAGATAGCAGGTAAATTAGGTGCACAACAGATTTGAAATGTTTGAAATGACCATGTTATATGTGTACCTCAGGTTCAAAATGGCATTGCCACTTATGCAACATGGACAACTATTGCCACACTGCTCAACTTCACTATTGTGTTGGATCTGGCGTCAGTTTCCCCAACACATGCTGCTACTGCTTCTTTATGCATACTTCTGTTGGAAGTAATTATATGGTAATCATCATTTATTTTCTGCTATAATTTTGTGATATGGCTCAATGACATTTTTTGTTTAGATCCGTTTGTTTATCTGTTATTACCATATTAAGGTGTTTGGCATTTTGGCTTTTATTCTTATCTCTAAGAAAACAAAACATAAAGAAAATGCAATTAAAAACTGGAAATGATGTCATGAGCATGTGTCAAGATTATATAAAATAATTTGAACATTTTATGACGAGGCAAGTTTAGCTGTCATGTGGTGTGACTCTCTAGAGACGTCATAATATTTATGAATGAATAATACATGAAATTTGTAAAAACGCTGAAAATATATATTTAAAATTGTTTTAAAAATAATGATTAAGATGTGTATACATATGTATGGTTAGGTTAAGAGTAATAAATTATTACTTTTTACTTGTTGGTTACCCCACATGACATTTTTAGAGAAACCTTTCTTGAAAATGGTATAAAACTAAATCATTAAAAAATGTCTTTCATTTGTGATTGACTCATATTTAAGGTACGTGTTCTTATGTGTTCTTCTACAGGTTTACAGTTGAAAACTTTCTAATAGAGAAGCACGTCCGTTACATCCTCTCGGTTTACCCTGTGATTATCTATGCTCTAATTGGAAGCCTAAGCAAGCATTACATTGCCGCGGGACCTGGCCGGAATGCCATCTTTTCAAGTTAGTCAATGATAAACACATCCATGTCGTTTTGGTTAACTATAAATATAGCATAGTTAAAGCACAAACTCATAAAAATGTTACATATTAAGGCTGCATTGTTGTCACTGTGCTTATAGTGTCATGCTTTTATTTTCCATAGTGATGCTTCTGGTGTTGGCCTGTATTTTGTTAGTGGTGCGCGTGGGGCTGGTGGTTTGGAGACACGGGACTCTGCCTCTCTTCCGTGAAGTAAGTCCTGAGGTCCTGATGTCACCAAACAGCGGCACTGATAAATAACCATACATCATAAATACTAAACACTCATGAAAACTTCAAAGATGACGTGCCCTAAACGGTAACCCTTCCAGGTGTGCAGTACCTGCATGAATGTATTTCGGCTGGAACAGATGTCTTTTTCAAAGTATTATGGAAAATATGCATGAAACAGCATACGGTAACAACATTATATCTATTCTGAGCTTGAGCCAGGCCATGTTCAGGGTATTAAATGTGCCAGTTTTGTTCTATGTTACTCTTACCATTCTAAAGTTGAAATAAAAGTCTGCATTTATTTGATCAAAAATACAATAAAAACAGCAGTATTATGAAACACTATTATGCACAACAGCTTTTTATTTCATTTTAATGTTTTATAATGTAATTGTGTGTATGCAGATATATTCAGTAACTTGTGACCAAAATATCAGTATTATACCTGAACCTGACAGTACATTCATTTGCTTGTTACCTTTTTGCATGTCTTTATGAATTAACGTTAACATTTAATATTTTAGCAATTCAAAGCAAAATAAGCACAAATAAGGAAGCAATTTATTACAGTATCAAAAGCAGTATATCATACAAAAGCCGACAATAATCATGATACCATGTTTCAAGAGTAAGTAAAGACAAAAAGATCAATAAAAAGTTGGGATTTTGTACTTTTTTTAAGTTTATTTTTTAAAGATATAGCATTTATAAAAAGCTCATTTATGAATATTTAATAAAATACCTGAAATGCATCAATTGTCATTGTTAATGATCACTAAAAATGTAACACAGACGTTGCATGATACACACTAGGATGAATGATTCGTGAGAAACAGCTTTTTTGTATGTTTAGTTCAAGTGCTCTGGAAACCACCTTGGTGTTGATTGCCAGCCTCTGAGACCATTGGTCTTTCAACAGCGATTACAGAGACATTCAGGGTTGCCACACAACATTTGTGTCTGGTGAATATACACGCTTTGATCACGGCTCTTCTTGTACATTTACTTTGGTGTGGATGTGAACTGAAGCATCTTGTCATGCATGTTGTTGCCCTTTTGGAATGTGTGTGTCTCCTGGCAGCAGCTGCAGCAGGCTTGACCCTGTGTACTTTGGCTTGTTCACTACAGGATGAATTACTTATGAGAAACTAAAAGACAAATAAAGGACATTTTTTCCTCCCAGGAGATGAACATCCCCTCCATTTCAGACTCACTTACCCTGTGCTTAAATAGTATGCTAAGAATCTTTTCTTTGTCCTGTTTAAATTATTATTTTATCTTTTAGACTAACGAAACAAATGTTGCATTAAATATTGAATTTAATGACAAAAGTATGTATTATTCTGACTACTGCTGCTCTTTATAAAATAAACAACAGTTGTGTGCAAGAAATCCCCTATTCACCTGGGTTAAGTTATGTCTTCTCTCTTTTGAACACTTTATCACTTGGGACTAAGATCTCTAGTGTTCCACTAACCTGCTGCACAGCAGTAACCAGACAGACTCTAGACAATGCATTTGAATATGCTTTAATCACGGCCGGGAGGACCTCATATCAATCACAGACTATCTCCACGACAAAGAGTATACAACAGTTTATATAGCAGCATGACAAAGATGACATGATTGATTACATAATTTTTCTCTAAAACCCCTCTGTTAGTGGCAAAGCTAACTTGGATTTCCTTCATGTCTCAACACAATATGCAACAAAAATATAGCATATTGAGACTTATCACATAGTTAAAGGGGTCATATGATGCTTTTTTAAAGATCATTATTTGGTGTATTTGGTGTAACAGAATATGTTGACATGCTTTAATGTTCAAAAAACACATTATTTTTCAAATACTGTACATTATTGTAGGTCCTCTATGCCCCGCCTCTCTCAAACACTTCGTTTTCTACAAAGTCCCTCCTTCCGACAAGCGCAGTCTGCTCTGATTGGCCAGCTGACCCAGTGCATTGTGATTGGCCGAACACCGCAAGCACTCGTCGGAAATGTAACGCCCCTTACCATAATCACGAGCTTCATCTTTCAAAATAAATGTAAAGACAGAGCCCGAAAGGGGAACAGAGTCTTGTGACAGACACAGTGATGAATATGTGTTTGCAGTACACAAGCCACGGTTAAGACTCCACTGTGATGTCTCTCTCTCTCACGCACACACACACACACACA